GGTAAAAACATTGAACCAAAAACTGCATCCTTGTCTGTGTTTTGCCCCTAGTAAGCATGGAAACAGGAGATTCACTGAATTTATCTATGACCCTACCTATAAAAGGGGGAAGTTGGATTAAATTTGCTGGAATGAATTTTTGAAATCTTGGAGTGTATGGATTTTTCAACCCCTTGGTCACACCTGGCAGTTGATCTCGTTTCTGCTGTATATAGGCTATATATCAACTGCCTGTTGATACGTCCTTGTGAGGTTTTCTTTTTAGGGTTTGTTTCTTACGAAATTTGCACTTTAGTTGTTTGTATATTCTCTGATGGATTATGTAGTTGATCCTTTCTCTCCCTGTTATCTCAATACCGTGTTTCCCCGAAAATAAGACCTACCCATAAAATAAGCCCTAGCAGGATTTCTAAGCATTTGTGCAATAGAAGCCCTACCCCGAAAATAAGACCTAGTGATGGGCGTGGCTATGAAAATCAGCTCTAGTGGTGGTCGTGGCTATGAAAATCAGCCCTAGTGATGGGCGTGGCTATGAAAATCAGCCCTAGTGATGGGCATGGCTGCGCAGCGCATCTGCACAACCCATGCATGTCGTCGAGGAGCGGGAAATAACACAAACAGCCCTTCTCATCCACCCCGTGAGAGCTCTAGTGCTCCACATGAGAGATCGGGGCCAGTCGTTCTAAAGGAAATAGAGTCGCAAGAAATTCAGGATGGAATTCGGGCTTTGGAGAGTGGTGCTGATGTTCCAGAAGAAGACGACTTCACTCTATTTGAATCAATGGAGATGGTTGTACCGTACTTAAAAAAAAATAACACATCCCCTGAAAATAAGCCCTAGACACCCTATTGAGTACAAATAAACATAAGACTCTGTCTTATTTTTGGGGAAACACGGTACATTGCAGAATGCAACCAGACCTGGCCCAAATCATTTAAAACATAGTACCTATCCCTCAGGTTAATTTAAAAGTCAATCAATCTGTTTCCCCCATCCATTCATCCTCCCTAGCAACCCCTTAGCAACATTTTATCCCCCTAAACAGAATTACCTGTGCTCCTCATCTCACCCTCTCCCCTTCCAAAAAGACAGGTATAAAAATATCTGAACTTCAGTAGGAATTTGGGTAATGACTCTGTGATTCTGCCTGTGCACATGGCAAATAAACCTTTCTCTTATTCGTCTGCCTTAATTGTGAGTTGATCTTTCAGCAAAGTTTCAGGGGCAAAGGGCAAATTTCCCCTCACCCCTACGATAAATACCAAATTCAAGGTAATTATGTCTTTAGGGACTAGGGAACCGTGATGGAGTAGGGATGAACAGAAGAGAGAGGACTTCAGTACTATGAGTGATGACATTTCTGCTAGGTGGTAGCTTGAAGGCGTTTGCAAGATTCTTTGTACTCTTGCATCTGTCTTAAAGTAGAATAAAACACAAATGAAAGCCTCCACGGTCCCTTTCTTGAAGATTTGTAATAAGCTAGTTGGGAGGTGGAGGAGCAATCACAAGATTGCTCTTTGCCTCCTAACTAGTGATAGCCCAAGAGATGATCTTGCAGGAATTGGGAGCTTTATAGAGATACAGAGAGAGCTGGCTACATTCTTGCAAGGTGTTCAGGGGACTGGGGCAAGCCGAGAACATGCTCTATTTGAGGAATGGCAACGAGTGAGAATTGTTATAAAATTGCTTAGAGCATGACATAAGTTTGCATGATGGGAGTGGGGGGAAAAGACACAGACCGCATTGGACAGATTAGCAGGCAATGCTGGGAAAACCGTGCGTGCCCAAAGACAAGAGTGTCTCTGGGAACAAGTTTTAAACGAGATCACCTGGAACTTTCTTTTGGTAAACTTTATCTCTTGTGCAGTGGGTGTCTAGGAAATGATTGCCCTATCAATAGCTTCTGAAACAGGTAATGCATAGCCTCATTTTACAGAAATGGAAAATAGCATTTGAAGTTCTATAAAAAGTTTTAAAAATGTGTTCAGTTTGCCTGAAAAAGTACATCATGTGTATTCATGTTAGGCTGGGATTTGAGGGGCCCCAGTTAGAAACACTTGCGTGAAAACTTATAATAGTGCAAAGACTCATCTGTTAATCCAATTTTTTTTTTAGTTCCATTTAGATAAAATTAAGCATTAGAAAAATATAACTACACCACAAAGCATGACGGTGGGTTAGATTATGGGATTTTCCCTAAGGATTATCAGCCCAGAGCCACTACGCATTTCCTATTTGTGCACCATTACCTATGGCTGACATCTGTTACTGTCATCATGGATTCAGTTTTTGAGGGATGTTGGGAATCATTCACTTGGTTCAGATTTGTACAAATGATTTGCCATTTCATGAGCATATGACATTTTTAATCTGTCCTTTTTTTTGCAAATATAATTTTAGTTTGGTGAAATTGCCAATTCCTGCAGGGTTTATTTTCAAAAATGTGATGACTGTCATTTTGTGCTCAAAAGGATGGTTTCTGAATTTTCAATCTCAGTTGTGTAACTGAACATTTTAATTGTTTATAATTTAAGTGTTTACACAAACATACATTGACAAAAATTTTAACATCTAACAGATTGTAGATATTAATCACATTTGTGAATTGTATGTTTCATCTAAAATGTTTAAGTTCTTTTAAGAAAGAGAGAGATAAAGAGACAGAGAGCTAGAAAGAGAGAGAAAGACAGAGAAAGAGGAAGGGAGGTTCAGCTAAGTTACAGTTTTGGAAAATAGAGGAATTGATGACTTACTGGTCTATACAAATATTTTAAAGTAAGTTTTTCGAAATAAGATATACAAATAACTAACAAGCATATGAAAAAAGGTTCAACCTTGTTAATCATCAGATAAACGCAAATTAAAACCACAATGACACATCATCTTGCACCAGTCAGACTGGCTATTATTATTTTTAAAAAGTCAAAAAACAACAGATGTTGGGGAAGATGTAGAGAAAAGGGAACATTTACACACTGTTGGTAGGAATGTAAATAATTAGTACAACCTCTATGGAAATGAGTATGGGGGTTTCTCAAATAATTAAAAATAGAACTAACATTCCATCCCTCAATCCTACTACTGGGTATATACCTAAAGGAAAAGAAATCATTATATCAAAAAGATAACTGGTACTCATATGTTTATTGCAGCATTCTTCACAATAGCAAAGAGATGGATAAGTGTCCATTAGACTGGGCGTGGTGGCTCACACCTGTAATCCTAGCACTCTGGGAGGCCGAGGCAGGAGGATAGCTCAAGGTCAGGAGTTCTAGACCAGCCTGAGCAAGAGCGAGACCCCGTCTCTACTATAAATAGAAAGAAATTATTTGGCCAACTAAAAATATATGGAAAAAATGAGCCGGGCATGGTGGCATGAGCCTATAGTCCCAGCTACTCGGGAGGCTGAGGCAGGAGGATCCCTTGAGCCCAGGAGTTTGAGGTTGCCGTGAGCCAGGCTGACGCCACGGCACAGCTAGGCTGTTGCCCAGGCAACAGAGTGAGACTCTGTCTCAAAAAAAAAACAAAAAAACAAAAAAAAAAAATAAGTGTCCATCACAGGATGATTGGATAAAGAAAATGTGATATACACCCCCCCACACACATATCCACACACACACATGATGGAATACTTTTCAGCCATAAAAAAGAATGAATAATGTCTTTCGCATCAAAATAAGTGGAACTGGAGGCCATTATCTTTTTTTTTTTTTTTTTTTTTGAGACAGAGTCTCACTCTGTTGCCCGGGCTAGAGTGAGTGCCGTGGCGTCAGCCTCGCTCACAGCAACCTCAAACTCCCGGGCTCAAGCAATCCTCCTGCCTCAGCCTCCCGAGTAGCTGGGACTACAGGCATGCGCCACCATGCTCGGCTGATTTTATATATATATTAGTTGGCCAATTAATTTCTTTCTATTTATAGTAGAGACGGGGTCTTGCTCTTGCTCAGGCTGGTTTTGAACTCCTGACCTCGAGCAATCCGCCCTCCTTGGCCTCCCAGAGTGCTGGGATGACAGGCGCGAGCCACCGCGCCCGGCTAGGAGGCCATTATCTTAGTGCAACAGCTCAGGCACAGAAAGTCAGATACCACTTGTTCTCACTTATAAGTGGAAGCTAAGTTATATGTACATACATAGACAGAAAATGTGGAATAATAGCCTTTGGAGACTTAGGAGGGCGAAGGGAGGAAGACAGTGAGGGATGAGAAATTGCTAAATGGGTACAACTCTACACTAAAAGCTCAGAATTCGCCACTACACGACGTATATCCATGTGACAAGACTGCACTTGTACCCCCTTTAAATGTACACACATACATTTTAAAAAATACATTTTAACATGAGGGAGTCTATTTGCAAAAACTAGTTGTAATACAAGTACGTTATAAATTATCAGAACACTTAAAGTTTGTTGAAATCGACGTCCCCTAACACATTCTTGCTAACGATATGATAGCTCATCATTTTTTTAGGATTAAAAAAATAAATGTATTCTACAGTTTCTTTGGCAACAGGAAATGTAGACATACAGATCTGACAGTGTGTTTAACTGTGGTTTCTTCTTTCTTTTTTGGGGGGGGCGGTGTCTTTAAAATATTTGTTTGTTTATTGCTACTGGGAAGGCTGTTTGTTCATTTTTTTTCTTGAAATTAACTACTTAACACAATCTACTCAGACCCTGCCCAAGTATATTCCTTCTCTAAACAATTCTAAGCTGTAAAGCAGTTTGACTGAGACCTTGTCCAAGGGAAAGAGGCCAGATACATTTATTTTCCTTTTCACAAGAACATGTAGCTAATTGTACAAATACACAGACTTTATCCCACTGTAAGTGGCCGCATGTATCATCAATAAGCTAAAAGAGTGATCTTTCTGATTCAAAATGTACTGTTTTCACTATAGCTCACATTTCAAGTATTTAGAACACTATTTTAATTGGAATTTTATAGTGTCCTGCTGCACCTAAATATATATTTTAAAGGAATGCTATTTTATGTTTTAGGAATATACTATAGATGTTTTCTTTCGACAAAGATGGAAAGATGAACGTTTAAAATTTAAAGGTCCCATGAACATCCTCCGACTTAACAATTTAATGGCTAGTAAAATATGGACTCCAGATACCTTCTTTCACAATGGGAAAAAATCTGTAGCTCATAATATGACAATGCCAAATAAGCTGCTTCGAATCCAGGATGATGGCACTCTGCTGTATACAATGAGGTATGTTTTTAGGTTTGATGTGTTGCATTTATATACTGAGAAATCCATGTATTAAACAAGCAATCTAGTTGTCAAGTATTATCACAATTGAACATTTTCCTAACAGATTATTGCACTACCCATAATATGTTTTATAAATACTTGGATATAAAACATATATATATATATATACACATATATATATATGAAGCAGTATTTATGAGTTTGAGTCTCATTTTTGTGTGTTTAATCTTCAGAATTGCCTTAATCATTAAGAATTGATGTTTTTTGGTTATTTATTCTTCACAGTACTTTTTAATTAAGTACAGTTTTAATACTAGTACTTGAATTTTGTTTATACCAGCATGAAATTTTATTTTTAATATCTTAATGGATATCCCATCACAAATTTTAAGTGATTTTTAAGCAGGATTTTACTTAATTTAATATTTTAATCCTCCTTATGAAGTTACTCTAAGGAAAAAAAAAAACATTTAAAAATCAGAGATATAGGCTTTGTTTAATGAGACAAGTAAATTGGATACTATAAACATGTTTTAGATTGAGTCATATAAAATTCCCATTTTGTAAATGGAAATTATCATATAGCATTAATTTCATTTGACTCAACTTTAATGAAATTATCTAAAGGAATAACCAGGTGTTGATCCTAACATGAGCATTTTAGCTATGCTCATGAATTAATCATGCAAAATAAGTCACTTGTACTATGTAAAAAAAAAATCCCAAATCTAATAAAGTGATGCAGAATCCAAAGTTGAAATGTTTAATGAAAGATTCAAAGCGTGCATAACTGTCATCAGCATTATATATAGATTATATCATCAGATTAATGTATTCCAGGTATTTGATATGTTATCATTTCATAAGTGCTGGATTTCAATTATGAAAGTTATTTAAGAAGGGACAGTAACACTATTTACCTGCAATAATGCTATTGAAATATGCACTAAAGCTAATGAATTATGCAATAATGCTATTTATGATCTTTAAAGACAAATGTCTTGAAGACTCAATACTAAACGGCCATTGCCTAAAACAGAAGTGTGGCTATGCATTCTGCCTCTCTCTCTGAATCTTGCAATGACAGTCAGATTCAGTGCCCCTGTTGACAATAATGACAAGTGATGTTTCTTGACTTGCCAATTTATTTAAACAAAGAGTGGACTTTTGACTTTTAGGCTTACAGTTCAAGCTGAATGTCCAATGCACTTGGAGGATTTTCCAATGGACGCTCATTCATGTCCTCTGAAATTCGGCAGCTGTAAGTACAGGAATGGGAGATACATGTGTTGTGTTGATAATATCAGGAATACTTAGCAGCACGGCTCTGTCGTGCAGTTTCTTATATTATGGATTTCTTAATACTTGCCCATTAAGATACAGAAGTAAAAGATGTGCTGATTGCCTTCAGGAACTAATTGGCTAGCCCTGTGTTCCTCTCAAATATGATTACATTTTTAATCATGGTGTTTAAATGATCACTTATTTTACTGCTGATAGAGAACACTATTTAGTACATGTGTAAAATTAGACCAGGAGTTCCTTGAAGGTTGGGACTCTAACTTACTTTCTTTTCTAAGTATTAGAGCATTAAAATGCAAAATATGTGGGTTGTTGTTTTTTTTTTTAAGCATCTAAGAATGAATTATAAAGGACAGAGTCTATTGTTTCTTAAAGTGGCAATCAGCTTGTTGCAAATGGCAGGCACAGAGCAGAGTGTGTGAGATTATCTCTCCACTGTCTAGCTAATAAGAGGAATTATTATTTTTTTTCTTTCTTAAAACAAATTTGAAGGAGATTGCTGCATGCAGACACTTTCTCTGTACACAGGACATTTCAGAAAAGGCTGCGTGTGCCGCTGGCCATTCTTTAGGTCGCTGGGGTTACATCTTGTGTGTCAAGCAGAAGCATTCATGCTTCCGGAATAATTGCAAAGGGGGAAGGTCAAATCATCTCCCTAGACCCACATGGCTTTCCAGACAGGTTCAGAATAAATTCACGCGAACACAGCTAAGCAGTCTCCCTCTCTCATGTGTGTCCCTTCACCTGACCTTTTTGGAGAGACTGTGCTCTTTCTGGCAACGCTCATCTTTGTCCGTTTTGGGTGACTTTTGACTTTTTATTCTCTCTTGAATAGAAACGCCTCCTCTTCCCACTGCATCAAGCAAAGAAAAGGGAAGAATGATGGCTAACATAAAACCCAAAGCATTCTAATTAGCTCGATCCTAGTTTTGCGGAATGAGAAGTTCCGTCTTATTTGTTCTTGCAGAAGGTGTCAGTTCCCAGTTTTCTTTGAGAATCTTCTCTTTGTTTAACCGCCAAGCCTTGTTTTATTGTCATAGAAACCATCACTCCCCTGCCGCCATTTCTTCCAGTGTTATTTAAGATAGTCAATCGTGTTATACCAAATAAACACAATGCTGAGAAAACCACAGCAGATGCAGAAGAGGGAAACTTATTTGCATTGCATAAGTGGTATTAAAGAAAAAAATATTGAAAAGTCTTGATCCTAAAGAAAGGATCTGTTCAAGGCATAATAATGATGCAGGAAGGAAAAAGATTTTTTTTTTTTTTTTAGTGGACAAGGTATTGTCATTAAGGCATTTAAATATAAATGATGTGATGTCTCAATTCTAAAAATAAAATAAATGCCCTTGAAAACATTTTAAAGGAAATTTAAAAATCCCTTATACTGCATACCATACACAGAGCAGTGGAATCTCACATGATTGAGAATATAATTGTTTGTATCCAGAGGTGATTTGAGCAACACACAAAGTTTATTATTATGCATTCTCTGTTTAAGTCATTATTATCTATGCTGCTTTCTTCACACTTATTTTCTGATCCACCGAATAAGCAACTTTTTGTATTCTTTTATTTTTTTTCTTCTTGCCCTTGGTAGGTGCTTGATGTGTAAGTTTTAACAGCGTGAACACCAGTGAGGAGTAAGATACAAACAAGCCTAGCCAAACTACTTAAAATGTTGGCACAAAAAAAAGTTTGTCAGACGCATCCCTGACTTTTTCTTCTAGTAATTTATCCCTCTCTTACCTAAAAATACCTCCCACCGCCAAAAAAAAAAAAAAAAAGATTGAATTTCTGGAACTTCATCATTGTCCTCGATTTAATGAAGCATCTTTTCTATATGTGTACGATCTGAAACTTAGTCTTGTTTTGTTTTATTCCTATTGCCTCATACCTTTATATTTTTCCTTATTGTTTTAACTTAGTTTAAAAATTCCCGAATGGAAGCCTAAGGATCATCTGTGCATTAGCCCCAAAGAAATTGTAAACTAAAAATTAATAGCTTGTGGGAGGGGGGAGGCGGTGGGAAAATAATATAAGTAAAAAAAAAAAAAAAAAAAACAAAAGAAAAAAAAATTAAGCCGGGCGCGGTGGCTCATGCCTGTAATCCTAGCTCTCTGGAGGCGGAAGCGAGCCGATCCTTTGAGCTCAGGAGTTCGAAACCAACCTGAGCAAAAGCGAGACCCTGTCTCTACTATAAATAGAAAGAAATTAATTGGCCAACTAATATATATAGAAAAAAATTAGCCGGGCATGGTGGCCATGCCTGTAGTCCAGCTACTCGGGAGGCTGAGGCAGGAGGATGGCTTGAGCCCAGGGGTTTGAGGTTGCTGTGAGCTAGGCTGATGCCACGGCACTCACTCTAGCCTGGACAACAAAGTGAGACTCTGTCTCAAAAAAAAAAATAAAAGAAAAAAAATTAATAGCTAAAAGTGATTTTGGAGTATTTTCTTGGTTAACAAATGCTAAGAACCAGTCGGTATGCATCTGTTTAATGCAGTGTAGGACTCAAAAATGGATTAATTAACAGAATGAAATAAAATTGTTTAATGACAGCCTAATTTAGAGGTGGAATTTATAATGAATTTTGTAAAGCTGACTTTCTCTCCTTTGGGACTTTATTGGAAAACTCTTTTATGGTCTCCTGGTTTATATGAGTGTTAGTGCATCAGAGAGAACCTCTAATCTGCATTGCATAACTTTCTGCTACATGTTACTTCATCACACGCAGAATCTAAAACCATACGCCTGCCGGGCGCAGTGGCTCCCGCCTGTCATCCCAGCACTCTGGGAGGCTGAGGCAGAAGGATAGTTAGAGCTCAGGAGTTCGGGACCAGCCTGAGCAAGAGTGAGACCCTCGTCTCTACTAAAAATGGAAAAAAATTAGCTGGACAACCAAAAATATATAGAAAAAACTAGCCGGGCGTGGTGGTGCATGCAGTGTAATCCCAGCTACTCGGGAGGCTGAGGCAGGAGGATCGCTTGAGCCCAGGAGTTTGAGGTTGCTGTGAGCTAGGCTGATGCCATGGCACTCTAGCCCAGGCAACAGAGCAAGACTCTGTCTCAAAAAATAAAATAAAATAAAACCATATTCCTGTGCAACTAATGAAATGCAGCAATTGCCTTTTTAAAAGACATGTGAAGAATCAGTCATTTTCTTTAACAAATTATGAGCTCTTCTCCACATGAAATACCATAGCTAAAATATTATGTTTGTTTATTAATCAGAGAACAATGGACTGTGATTTTTTTTTTCTGTGTTTCAGGCACTGAACCAGGTCCTAGAAGTATAGACATGAATCAGATAGAGTCCCTGCCTATCAGTCTCTCATTAATTTATTTAAAATGTCATCACTTTTATAGAGTTTTATTTTCCCTTATTTATGTTTAAAAGTAACATCATAATTCAAGAATGGTGTCATTGTACTTTAAAAACTTCATAATTTATTAAGATTCAGAGCTATGGAGTATTGATTGGGAGCCCTTCTGATAGAAAGTGGCTTATGTGTCGTATCTTTTTGTTCTGTTCAATTCTGTGCCATTTGAAACTTTACTGAAGAGAGGGCCAGAATATGTATTCACAAGGGAAACAAAACAAGCCACTTATTTAAATGAGTTGCTAGTTATCAACATTAATAATGTTATTTAATAGTCTCAGTAGAATCATTAATGGTTAATGAACTGAAGTTAATGAATAAGAAAATGAAACTGCAGCAGAATTTATTCTTATTCAAACATGAATATTTCTCTTCTATTACAACATATACACATACAGATATAAATATATATATTTTTAGCATCCTATTTCAAAAATTGTTTCACATAATATCATTTACTTGTGGATGTCTCCTAGTCCTGAGCAAAACTCAACGTCACAGTCACATTTTCAACTGAGGGAGAGAGAAAGGACCTCCAGCTAGCGTTCCACGGGGCACTGGGAATCTCATTTCTCTGCCATCTATACATCCTCCAGTTTTAAGACCACTGTGCTGTTTGGTGGTCTGGATTCTGAACTTGATACAGAGTCTAAGATCGCAGATCGGCTTCCAGACCAAGCATCAGTAATGATAAGGTGAGGGTTTATGAGTTTGTTGTCTTTTCATGACATACTGTATGTATAATGTCATCTGGTTTTCTGAATGTGGCCAGGAAATGTTAATATCAGCAAAATGCTGTTTTCTGTATACATATATTCACTTATCAGGGGTCCTCAAACTTTTTAAACAGGGGGCCCGGTTCACTGTCCCTCAGACCGTTGGGAAGTGCGACTGTGGCCCGGGACGAGTCGGCTGCTAAGCAGGACAGGCAGCGGCGGCAAAAACACCCGGCGGGCCGGATAAATGTCCCAGGCGGGCGGCATGTGGCCCGCGAGCCGTAGTTTGAGGACCCCTGACTTACATCCACAAGTAAATGATATTATGTGAAACAATTTTTGAAATAAGGATGCTAAATATATATATTTATATCTGTATGTGTATATGTTGTAATAGAAGAGAAATATTCATGTTTGAATAAGAATAAATTCTCCTGCAGTTTCATTTTCTTATTCATTAACTTCAGTTCATTAACACATAATGATTCCTACTGAGACTATTAAATAACATTATTAATGTTGATAACTAGCAATCATTTAAATAGTGGCTTGTTTTGTTTCCTTATGAATACATTTCTGGCCCTCTCTTCAGTAAAGTTTCAAATGGCACGAATTGAACAGAACAAAAAAGTACGAACATAAGCCACTTTCTATCAGAGGGCTCCCAATCAATACTCCATAGCTCTGAACTTAATAAATTATGAAGTTTTTAAAGTACAATGTCACCATCTTTGAATTATGATGTTACTTTTAAACATAAATAAGGGAAAATAAACTCTATAAAAGTGATGACATTTTAAATAAATTAATGAGAGACTGATAGGCAGGGACTCTATCTGATTCATGCTATACTCTAGGACCTGGTTCAGTGCTTGAAACACAGAAAAAAAATCACAGTCCATTGTTCTCGATTAATAAACAAACATAATATTTTAGCTATGGTATTTTCATGTGAGAAGAGCTCATAATTTTTAAAGAAAATGACTGATTCTTCACATGTCTTTTAAAAAGGAATTGCGCATTTCATTAGTTGCACAGAATAATGGTTTTATTTTATTTTATTTTTGAGCACGAGTCTTGCTCTGTTGCCCTGGCTAGAGTGCCATGGCATCAGCCTAGCTCACAGCAACCTCAAACTTCCTGGGCTCAAGCGATCCTACCTGCCTCAGCCTCCCGAGTAGCTGGGATTCAATGCATGCACCCCCACGCCCGGCTAGTTTTTTCTATATATTGTTGTCCAGCTTAATTTTTTCCATTTTAGTAGAGACGAGGGTCTCACTCTTGCTCAGGCTGGTCCGAACTCCTGAGCTCTAACTATCCTTCTGCCTCAGCCTCCCAGAGTGCTGGGATGACAGGCGGGAGCCACCGCGCCCGGCAGGCGTATGGTTTTAGATTCTGCGTGTGATGAAGTAACATGTAGCAGAAAGTTATGCAATGCAGATTAGAGGTTCTCTCTGATGCACTAACACTCATATAAACCAGGAGACCATAAAAGAGTTTTCCAATAAAGTCCAAGGAGAGGAAAGTCAGCTTTACAAAATTCATTATAAATTCCACCTCTATAGGTGTCTTAAACAT